GTTCTCCCCCAACCGCTCGTCATCTCTGTTTATCCCTCCTCACTCCACTAGGTTCCTATAACAAGTTTCGATGCCCTATAACAAGTCTCGATTGAATGGAAACAGTGAAATACTGCCACGTCAGACCCTTGGTGGCAAGCTTCTGCCAGCAGTTATGCTCACGTGAAAAAATATTAAGTCCACAGTGAAGATTGATTATGTCCTGGATCCTACTCATGTGGTCTAATCTTGGTTGGCTGTTTATTGTCTTGTCTTCTGATGATGCCGGAGGGGAATGGACTGATTAACGTGGCGTTTTTCAAGAAAAAAAAGGCTTTTTTTGAAGACGCGGCCTTTTAAGGATGTGGGCCGAATGCAATACGTGGCCGATTTTGAGTCCTCAGATGAGGAAGAGGAGGATGACATTGAGGACACGGCCGGTAGTCGCTGGTCACCTCCAGAAACTGATAGCGAAGAGGACGAATGGCAGAGACCAGGAGAGGTTAGCTCTATTTCAAAGTTGAATGACATCTATTTTTACACGCATCTGGGTCTCTATTTTCACATTTGCATATGTTGAATGTTGTGGTATTATTCTCAGAGCGACGAGGACGAGGACGATGAAGAAGAAAGTGAAGGGGAAACTTCTGAAGAACCTCCGAAGAAGAAACCGAAAAAGAAAGAAAGTAAAAAGAAGCAGTCGAAAAAGAAGGTTTGTTCATGCTTTTGCCCTGTTCTTCTGTGTTCTGAATAAGGTACTGCCTATTTTCATGGCTACCAATCAGGGTTCCGCATAAGGCCTCTCTTTTCTGAAGAGTTCAATGTGTTTTCAAGAAATGACAATCATTGTAACAGAGCTATCGATTGTCAATATCGGTTGCTGACTTTTTTTTCTGAAAATTCGAGAGCGGGGAGAGGTGGACCAGGAACCCCTTAATTTTTATTATTATTCGATGCGCCACTATAGTTGAGGGTGACCACGCAATGTGAAGTTCTCCCTTCCACTAGCAAATCTCAGCCCCAGTAGAAGACAAACGGCCAAGAGCATGGCTTCAATTACGGCAGCGATGGACCGCCCCTCTCAACTAGTGGTTTATTTGAGTCGTACACAATCTTACCTCTGCAGGGAACTACAAACGTAATTATACTTTTACTGGTATGAAAAAAGTACTATTCGGAATGGAACGATCTCGTTTGTATATTTATATGCTAGCCAAACCTCGATTAAAAAAGGTTAAAGTCTGCGCCGTGAATCAGTCGCCTTTTCGAATGAGGCTCGGATCCTACTTCCACTCAGAATCATCATGGCTCACTTGGTGCGATGTGGCCTTTACAATGACTTGCGTAGCCAGCTGGTGTGCAAGTCAGTGTCCATATCCCCTGATAATCTGCTATCAATTTACCGTGGGAAGGAGGCTTCTTTGGCCTAGCTCAGAGCCGATCCGGAATTTAATCCCCAAACCGTGCGCGTGGTTAGCGTTCCACTTGCCACTACATCACCTCCGCCTCAAGCCGAAATTATTTATTTATTCTGGGACGAAAATATAAAAAGGATTTCAGTGTATTATGCAGCTTGCTTCTTTTTGATCCTTTAATTGGTTGGATTTGTTACAGACGACTAAACGAAGGCGGCCACATGTGGAAATCGAATACGAAGACGAATCAGAGTTACGATCGAAAATCAAAGCTTAGCCTGATTGTAGGTATTTGTATGTTGTATGCGATTTTGCCTATTGGAAGTGTTTTCCTCGTTGTTGAAGGTTGTTTTGTTATGGGCTCACTGAGATCTATCCAGAGCTACTATACTACTTCGTTAACTAGCATGATTTGTTATATCGTTGTTGTGTATGAAAAAAGAGTTGATATATGTTTTCCTCCCTTTTGTTACTTGGTTCTCACCAAGAGAAGTTTCTAATGTATTCACGAACACAACTATTTGGTGTATCCCATGACATTATGTATGCTTTGCTGCTCACCTTTCGGCTTTTTAGCTGATTCTCTTTGGAAACTGGTTACAGAGGTGAAGTTACCTACAAGTTGGACCCAAGATGTTCTTCGACTCCTTAAACATGATTATTACATTCTCACGGGGCGCTAAAATGCCTTGTGCCAACGACTGCACGCAACAGGCGACAAAACTTTATGAAAACATGCATATGTGGTTGTCATGCTCAGTGTCCGTTGATCCGTGGCGCTGAAGAAAGCTTGTGGCGACGCTTCTTAGGTGCGTTTATACTTTGCCACATCGTCCACCAGCGTTCCGAGCATCCGTTAGCGCCAGCGACTATGAAAGTAGATATCAATTTACGAACAGCAGCGTCCACCTGCGTTTAGGAGTGGAGAGTATGGGGGAATGTGAGTGAGTAGACAACTGGATTAGGCGTCATGAAATTGCGAAATGTGCAGACGTACCGTACAAATAAAGCACAGAATCGTGTAATTCACTATACAGTCTTCTGTTGTAGTTCGGTGCGTTTGCACACGCTGTATTCTCACGATGCCTAGTTGGCTATCTGCTTATCTGCTCTCTCTTACTCCATCTTCTCCACTCCTGGATGCTCGCCTCGCTAGATCGATATCCATACTTTGCTAGCGGTGGGCGTTGGTGGACGCTTGTAGACGCTGGTGGACGCTGCCGCAGCCTTATAGCGCGTTCGCCTATATCACGTGTATCGCTTGCGCACCCGCTGATCAGCGAGTTGCTCAAGTGGGCGTAAGAAATGTCTCCATTCATCTCAGACTTGCCCATTGGGTTCTCTCGATGCAAGGGACGCAATGAACATCATTCTGTTCTTAAAGCTTTCAGAAAAAAGTATGACCATCGAGTAGGAGGTCGGACAGGTTTGGATTAACTTGAGGTCTTCTGGAATCAAGTCGCTAATCTCTCAGGTCCAGCGGTCATCCTTGAAACGCATGGCGTGTCTGGCCTACCCGATTTTTGAAATCTTGGCAAATGTGGCTGCTTTTCTGATCTTCCATCATTGTTTCAGTGCAGAGAACCCCTCTTTCACTTGGTGTAGCCCTGAACCCCGAGCACCATTCTTTCGATGGCGCGTTGAACCGTCTCCAAGGCGTGAAATGGGGCAGAAAGGGCCGCAGAATCGATGAGATGGGCACGTACGTTGGCCATGATGTTGTTGTTATCTTCTTCTGGGAATGCAGCTATAAGAATTCTGGCCAGATCTTCACCAACATTAAGACTTTTTAGAAAAAATCGAGTAGAGATTTG